TTGTTATCACCAAAAATGTGTTCCTGAAAGTAAAGCACGTTCATAATTAGATAGACATCGTGAGGTATTTATTTTCGGTACAGTTTGAAACCGTTAGAGAGAGTGGCACACTTGTTAGCCTGTTCCATTCTTCTTTGTTTTCCGAAGCCGTGGCTTGGAAGTATACTTGCTTCGTTTCTGAAGGAAGTGACTTGGAAGTACGCGACTACCAAGCCAGCATCCTCGCGATTGAGAAACGGCCTGTATATAGGTTAAACCCGATGAGAGGGGATACAGCTGTGCACATGTCATCATGAACAGACGTCGTTTAAAAGTGACGTTTGAGTGAACGAGGACGTCCCAATTAATACCTGAGGACTCCTCTGTCCTCAGTGAGGGAAAGTAGGAGGTGAAATATTCAATTGAGACGAGCCTCCAGTCTTCCTGAAAGAACTTGCGCTGAGCTTCATTTTTGATTTACTATGTACTAAAATATAAGTGTTTAACCCTTGTGTTGTCAACTTTTCTCATCCCAGTTTTAGTATTTATAAAACATATAGTATAAATGAACACCGAAATCTGAGTTAGACTTTTTAAGGCAACTGTATTCCTACCACCATGTGTTACTCTTCTTTTTTAAATGTATGGTCAATGGATCGCAAATGCTATCTCAATTCAAATGAAAGAGATCATGATTCTTTTTTCGTGGAAAAACGTAGCATACAAGCAAACATGTTAATGTGTTGGCACTAACATAAAACAAAACTTTATCCCAACATAAAAACATTTGGGAGCGGGTCAAATTTCACAGGAAGGCCAGGATGAAGAGCATAAACAAGTCTAAATATTTACCAGCAGCCAAACAATACGGAGGTTTCTCATATGTCGAGAGGACAGAGGTCGGTTTACAGAAGAGTCAAACAGTGCCATGGTGAGAGAACCCAGCAGTCAGGGGGCAGAGGTACAAGTACACACACTAAAGTACCATTTTAAAGTACTTTTATGCAGAGGTGGGAAGTAGCGGAGTACAAATACTTCGTTACTGTATTTCTCAGATATATCTATCTCTCAGCACAAGATCTGAGTACTTCTACTTTTACTCAAGTACAAGATCTGAGTACTTCTACTTTTACTCAAGTACAAGATCTGAGTACTTCTACTTTTACTCAAGCAAGATCTGAGTACTTCTACCTTTACTCAAGTATCAGATCTGAGTACTTCTACTTTTACTCAAATACAAAATCTGAGTACTTCTACTTTTACTCAAGTACAATATCTGAGTACTTCTACTTTTACTCAAGCAAGATCTGAGTACTTCTACCTTTACTCAAGTACAAGATCTGAGTACTTCTACTTTTACTCAAGCACAAGATCTGAGTACTTCTACTTTTACTCAAGTACAAGATCTGAGTACTTCTACTTTAACTCAAGTACAAGATCTGAGTACTTCTACTTTTACTCAAGTACAAGACCTGAGTACTTCTACTTTTACTCAAGTACAAGATCTGAGTACTTCTACCTTTACTCAAGTATCAGATCTGAGTACTTCTACTTTTACTCAAGTACAAGATCTGAGTACTTCTACCTTTACTCAAGTACAAGATCTGAGTACTTCTACTTTTACTCAAGTATCAGATCTGAGTACTTCTAGTTTTAATCAAGTACAAGATGTGAGTACTTCTACTTTTACTCAAGTATCAGATCTGAGTACTTCTACCTTTACTCAAGTATCAGATCTGAGTACTTCTACTTTTACTCAAGTATCAGATCTGAGTACTTCTACCTTTACTCAAGTATTAGATCTGAGTACTTCTACCTTTACTCAAGTATCAGATCTGAGTACTTCTACCTTTATTCAAGTATCAGATCTGAGTACTTCTACCTTTACTCAAGTATCAGATCTGAGTACTTCTACCTTTACTCAAGTATTAGATCTGAGTACTTCTACCTTTACTCAAGTATCAGATCTGAGTACTTCTACTTTTACTCAAGTATCAGATCTGAGTACTTCTACCTTTACTCAAGTATCAGATCTGAGTACTTCTACCTTTACTCAAGTATCAGATCTGAGTACTTCTACCTTTATTCAAGTATTAGATCTGAGTACTTCTACCTTTACTCAAGTATCAGATCTGAGTACTTCTACCTTTACTCAAGTATCAGATCTGAGTACTTCTACCTTTACTCAAGTATCAGATCTGAGTACTTCTACCTTTACTCAAGTATTAGATCTGAGTACTTCTAGTTTTAATCAAGTATTAGATCTGAGTACTTCTACCTTTACTCAAGTATCAGATCTGAGTACTTCTACCTTTACTCAAGTATTAGATCTGAGTACTTCTACCTTTACTCAAGTATCAGATCTGAGTACTTCTCCCCCTCTGAAATGTCCCCACAGCTTTATTGCGTTGGATGTGACAGAACTTGATTCTCAGCGTCTCACTGCAGATGCTTTCACTGATAATAAGCTCTCATGTGTTTCACAGCTCTTCTGCTGGTACTGCCTGCGGGTTTCTCCGCTGCCAACATACTCAGAGTTACTGCTGCCTGTTTGCCCGCAGCGTGTACGCAATCTTTCGTTATCTGTCATCAGATTCAGATCATTAGAGCATTCATTTACGCAATCTTTGAGAGTTATTCCCTGTTTGTGGAAAGGCTCTGTTCCCAGCCTGCAGTAAATAACTGTATGGAGACGAAGCATCAGTTCAACTATAACTCAGGACAGATGCTTTAAAGGTCACCTATTGTGCAGAATCCACATGTGACCCCTCTTCTTCATGTCTCTTCTACATCAACACGTGTCCCCTCTTCTTCATGTCTCTTCTACATCAACACGTGTCCCCTCTTCTTCATGTCTCTTCAACATCAACATGTGTCCCCTCTTCTTCATGTCTCTTCTACATCAACATGTGTCCCCTCTTCTTCATGTGTCTTCTACATCAACATGTGTCCCCTCTTCTTCATGTCTCTTCTTCATCAACATGTGTCCCCTCTTCTTCATGTCTCTTCTTCATCAACATGTGTCCCCTCTTCTTCATGTCTCTTCTACATCAACATGTGTCCCCTCTTCTTCATGTCTCTTCTACATCAACATGTGTCCCCTCTTCTTCATGTCTCTTCTTCATCAACATGTGTCCCCTCTTCTTCATGTCTCTTCTTCATCAACATGTGTCCCCTCTTCTTCATGTCTCTTCTACATCAACATGTGTCCCCTCTTCTTCATGTCTCTTCTACATCAACATGTGTCCCCTCTTCTTCATGTCTCTTCTACATCAACATGTGTCCCCTCTTCTTCATGTCTCTTCTTCATCAACATGTGTCCCCTCTTCTTCATGTCTCTTCTTCATCAACATGTGTCCCCTCTTCTTCATGTCTCTTCTACATCAACATGTGTCCCCTCTTCTTCATGTCTCTTCTTCATCAACATGTGTCCCCTCTTCTTCATGTCTCTTCGTCATCAACATGTGTCCCCTCTTCTTCATGTCTCTTCTACATCAACATGTGTCCCCTCTTCTTCATGTCTCTTCTTCATCAACATGTGTCCCCTCTTCTTCATGTCTCTTCTACATCAACACGTGTCCCCTCTTCTTCATGTCTCCTCTACATCAACACGTGTCCCCTCTTCTTCATGTCTCTTCTACATCAACACGTGTCCCCTCTTCTTCATGTCTCTTCTACATCAACACGTGTCCCCTCTTCTTCATGTCTCTTCTACATCAACACGTGTCCCCTCTTCTTCATGTCTCTTCTACATCAACACGTGTCCCCTCTTCTTCATGTCTCTTCTACATCAATACGTGTCCCCTCTTCTTCATGTCTCTTCTACATCAACATGTGTCCCCTCTTCTTCATGTCTCTTCTACATCAACATGTGTCCCCTCTTCTTCATGTCTCTTCTACATCAACATGTGTCCCCTCTTCTTCATGTCTCTTCTACATCAACATGTGTCCCCTCTGTGGAAAGAGACTCTGAAAGTTTCAGGAATAAAGATTCTCTCTCTTTTTGATCCATTTCTATAAAAACCTGTCTGAAAATGAGCTGATCAGATTTTGGTCACTTAATGATGTCATAACGATGTGTTGTCTTGTGTAACCATTAGCCAATCAGCAACCAGGGTAACCCCTTGGTAAAGTTTTTATTATCAGTAGCTGGTTTGTTACCAAACAGGTTTTTACATACAAGGAAATGCATTAGTGTAGTTGTGTGTAGTTTCAACATACGTAGTAAGAGAAATACAAAATAAAATAAAGGCAAAATCAATAAAATAAGATATGAAATGAAACAATACAAATATTTAAAATTAATATAAAAATTAATTATTTTAATTATATTTTAAATATATTTAAAAAAATAAATATGTAGCCAAAAGAACACAATAAAGTATAATATGATCAAATATCAGTCATTCAAAATGAATATTCACAAGAGTCCTAAAAATAGTGGAAAATAAACAAAATACGATTAAAATGTGTTTAAATTCACAAAAAAGGCATAAAAATACAAAAAATACGATTAAAATATGTATACATTCAATACAACAAATGTTCTTCTAAAAATAAAATAAAAAAGTGTTTGAATAACAGCGATAAAGATATGTACAGAATATGTGAATTTCAAATGGAAGGAGCTTTGCAGGTGCCATCAGGACCTTTCAAAATGTCACCTCATTGAAAACATCAGGAGTGTTTCCAGCATAGACCAGGGGTGTCAAACTCAAGGCCCGGGGGCCAAATCCGGCCCGCGACTTCATTTTATGTGGCCCCGCAAGAGCTTGCAAAGAATATAATATGTTTATTATACGGTTACATGCTACTTTACAGAAGCAGGTTGCCCATAAACTACATATCCCACATTGCATCTCATTTTGTGACATGCGCACTGAAGAGACTTGTAATTATTTGCCCTAGACTTCTGCATTCAGACGTAAGTTATTACCCTATCCGATAATAATCCAATGCAGAGGCAATAATGTAATATAATACATTATTTTATATATTTATATTGTCTTAAAGTTACAACCGGCCCTTTGAGTGCTAATGCTATAGCATCCATAATGCTAATGTGGCCCGCGACCTTTCATACGGAGTTTACAGTCAGTTTGAACAACTGTGGGAAACACACGAAGCAGAAGCACAGCTGTTTCTCATAACACTAACTCGCTGTACCAGGAACTATGAAACGCAGGAGCTAAATGAATAATTGAACACTATTTCCATCCGTGCTTTCCCCTCTTCTTTCTTCCTGGAAGCCGAAACAGAAGACTTGTGTTTTCTGCTGGGAAACACGACAAAAAAACTCCCGTGCAGCACGACCCCTCCAGGTGCATTTGAATGTGTTTACATGCCATGTTTATCCGGGTTATTATCATATCTGGGACGAGGTGTTTACACCACGAGCAAACAAATAAGAGCACAATTAAATGAGTACTTATTCATTTAGCCTCTAGCGTGTGTTTGGTGTCTCTTATCACTCATCTCTGTGTGGTTTTGTGTCTCTGGAGTCATTTTGCATCTTATTAGTAGTTGGTTTATGACACTTTGTTGTTATTTCCTCCTCTCTGCGTCACTTTGTGCTCCTATTATGGTTGTTGTGCCCGTTATCCTAGTCGTTGTGAGTCTCTGTGTGACTCGTTGCAGCTGTGGCGCGTCGTTGAGTCCATTCAGGTGCGTTATAGTCTTATGTGTCATTGTGTGTCTAGTTGTGGTCCCTTTTGCCTTTTCCCAAGTTGTCCTGAGTCTTCTTGTTGATTTTTTCAGCTGTTGATTAAGATTAAGATTAAGATGGACTTTTATTAATCCCTCGTGGGGAAATTGTTTCTCTGCATTTGACCCATCCTAGTGTTAGGAGCAGTGTGCTGCCATTTTGAACGGCGCCCGGGGAGCAGTGTGGGGAACGGTGCCTTGCTCCGGGACACCTCGGTAGCACTTGGTCTTGCTGGGACTTGAACTGGTGACCTTCCAGTTGCCAAGCCAAGTCCCTATCGACTTCGCCACCACCGTTGTGCGTCTCGTTGAGTCTTTGCGGTCTCTTTCTAGTCTTCCTTTGTCTGTTTATAGTTGTTTTTATTTCTCATCGTGGTCATTTTGCTCCTTTTCTGGTTGTTTTGCCCGTTGTTTTGTTAATTGTGATTATCTTTGTGTTGTGCATCTCCATGGACTGTTTTGGTCACTTTGTCGTCCATTTATTTCTCCTTGCTGTCATTGTGTGTCTCCTGGTGCTCCTTTCTTTGTTTCTCTTGCCCTTTGTCCTTGTCACCGTGAGTCTCTTCAGGTGACACTTTGCAGAGGAAAGCCGGTGGGTCTCTTCTGTTGCAAAATGGTCCTTTTTTAAAAAGTCTTAACTAGTCAGGAATCAGAGGAGGAAACATGGACATAGGTTAGAAGCATGCAGCATGCAGTGAGGGTCTTTGCACCAGCAGAGGGAGACGAGGAAGTGAAGCCTCTGGTGAAGAACTTGGCTGACAATCGCCCCACTTTCTCCTTTTCGGTGGATCAGACAGCAGGTGAAGAGCAGTGCGGCTGCAGAAACACAGACGGACACACACACACACACACACACACACACACACACACACACACACACACACACAGACAGACAGACGGACAGACAGGAGGAGAACCTGTTGGATTTCTGTCTCTCCTCATCACACCTCCCTGGATTTACACTTTTCCCTTCACTTGTATGAGTTGGAGTAACAACCTCCTGACCGGCGGCTGCTGTAATGAGATGTAAGTAACTTTAGCTGCAGTTGTATTTCTTACTCTTCCCTAAACACTAAACACTGCTTTCTGTTGCAGCCTCTGTCCTGGGATCAGTGTGTGTTCTGCTCTTGATGTTGAGGCAGCATAAATGCCGGGGTGATGATGAGGTTACCTCCAACACAGGTGGGTGATTTCATCTCTGTTAATCTCTGCAGGAAACATTTGAATGGAGGGACCCTACATGCCTGTGAACACCGGGTTAAGCTGCCATTAGACTGCTAGACATTCCCAAACCCCTGATAACAAAGACAGGCTGTGGCAAGTCTGCTTCTGCCGCTCCGAAAACAAACAACAAGTGGAACAGGCTCTGAAGAAATATGGTTTATTTAGCTTCTTTGTTGGCACACTATGTGCTTCGTATATACAAACAGGAAAAAGGCATTATGGATGTTTTGTTGATGCATGTCGACTTGTTGCGGGATTCAAATCTCCATCCCAGTCTGAAGAAAGTCTGAGGAGATGCGTTAAAGTTTGTATTCAGTCCAAAACACCAAGATATGTAGTTTAGTACGATATAAAACAGAGAGAAAGTAGGACAAGTCTTGATTTCAGAGAAACACATTTGTTTTGCCCTTTTTGCATTAAAATAAAACTATAACAATGCATTAGATATCAAAACGTATCAGTTCTCGATAAATCAAGTAATTTTCCAATTTTTCAAAAAAAAGCCTGCATTCCTCGCAGTGAATCCCCCAGACAGACATTTCCTGCCTGGCCTGTATGACCACCCACACACACACACACACACACACACACACACACACACACACACACACACACACACACACCTTATATACACAAAATACTATCCTGCCCTCGGGGCCATCCTTTTCAGCCGTCATAGGTGAACACCCTTTTCCTGTCTTCCCATTTCTGCTTTCACAGCTGAGTCTTGTTCTATCTGAATGAAACACGTGGAGAGTTTAGTTTCAAGACAGATCGAGTCACGTAAGACACATGTAATACAATAACTTTCATTTCCCCGCTCCCACGTGTGATATTTTACCTCAGTGTGACACTTTAAATTACAGTGTGTGTGTGTGTAGTTTACATATCAGTGTGATGAGGTCAGTTGGCTGTGTAGCTAGGAAACAGAGGGGGGTGGGTGCGTAGGCAGAGAAAAGCAGGTTTTGACATGTGCCGGGAAATGGGGCTTTTTACCTGGAAATTGTACAAGTTTTCTCTCACAGTTCAAATGACATGTTTACGTGTATAATGCAACACCCTGAACTATGTATATATGATCTTGATCTGGTAGCGAGCCGTGCATACGTCTCAGGGTGCTGGAATGTTCAATACAAACAGTTTGATCTGATATGATACGTAACTTTAGAGGATTTCACCTTTCAACCTGTGCCTGTTTTATCTTCTCGATGCGTCCGTTAGACAAAGGCCTTTTCATCAGGATGACTTAAGTTTGCCCTTAAGGAAACAAACATGAACTTAATCACTGAACATACTGATATACACCTGAACATCAGCAGGAGATGACTCTTTAAAGTAGAGACACTACATACTGATATACACCTGAACATCAGCAGGAGAGGACTCTTTAAAGTAGAGACACTACATACTGATATACACCTGAACATCAGCAGGAGAGGACTCTTTAAAGTAGAGACACTACATCCTGATATACACTTGACCATCAGCAGGAGAGGACTCTTTAAAGTAGAGACAATACATACTGATATACACCTGAACATCAGCAGGAGAGGACTCTTTAAAGTAGAGACACTACATACTGATATACACCTGAACATCAGCAGGAGAGGACTCTTTAAAGTAGAGACACTACATACTGATATACACCTGAACATCAGCAGGAGAGGACTCTTTAAAGTAGAGACACTACATACTGATATACACCTGAACATCAGCAGGAGAGGACTCTTTAAAGTAGAGACACTACATACTGATATACATCTGAACATCAGCTAGAGAGGACTCTTTAAAGTAGATACACTACATACTGATATACACCTGAACATCAGCTAGAGAGGACTCTTTAAAGTAGATACACTACATACTGATATACACCTGAACATCAGCAGGAGAGGACTCTTTAAAGTAGAGACACTACATACTGATATACACCTGAACATCAGCAGGAGAGGACTCTTTAAAGTAGAGACACTACATACTGATATACACCTGAACATCAGCAGGAGAGGACTCTTTAAAGTAGAGACACTACATCCTGATATACACTTGACCATCAGCAGGAGAGGACTCTTTAAAGTAGAGACAATACATACTGATATACACCTGAACATCAGCAGGAGAGGACTCTTTAAAGTAGAGACACTACATACTGATATACACCTGAACATCAGCAGGAGAGGACTCTTTAAAGTAGAGACACTACATACTGATATACACCTGAACATCAGCAGGAGAGGACTCTTTAAAGTAGAGACACTACATACTGATATACACCTGAACATCAGCAGGAGAGGACTCTTTAAAGTAGAGACACTACATACTGATATACATCTGAACATCAGCTAGAGAGGACTCTTTAAAGTAGATACACTACATACTGATATACACCTGAACATCAGCTAGAGAGGACTCTTTAAAGTAGATACACTACATACTGATATACACCTGAACATCAGCAGGAGAGGACTCTTTAAAGTAGAGACACTACATACTGATATACACCTGAACATCAGCAGGAGAGGACTCTTTAAAGTAGAGACACTACATACTGATATACACCTGAACATCAGCAGGAGAGGACTCTTTAAAGTAGAGACACTAACATACTGATATACACCTGAACATCAGCAGGAGAGGACTCTTTAAAGTAGAGGACACTACATACTGATATACACCTGAACATCAGCAGGAGAGGACTCTTTAAAGTAGAGACACTACATACTGATATACACCTGAACATCAGCAGGAGAGGACTCTTTAAAGTAGAGACACTACATACTGATATACACCTGAACATCAGCAGGAGAGAACTCTTTAAAGTAGAGACACTACATACTGATATACACCTGAACATCAGCAGGAGAGACTCTTTAAAGTAGAGACACTACATACTGATATACACCTGAACATCAGCAGGAGAGGACTCTTTAAAGTAGAGACTATACATACTGATATACACCTGAACATCAGCAGGAAAGGACTCTTTAAAGTAGAGACACTACATACTGATATACACCTGAACATCAGCAGGAGAGGACTCTTTAAAGTAGAGACACTACATACTGATATACACCTGAACATCAGCAGGAGAGGACTCTTTAAAGTAGAGACACTACATACTGATATACACCTGAACATCAGCAGGAGAGGACTCTTTAAAGTAGATACACTACATACTGATATACGCCTGAACATCAGCAGGAGAGGACTCTTTAAAGTAGAGACACTACATACTGATATACACCTGAATATCAGCAGGAGAGGACTCTTTAAAGTAGAGACACAAACCTGAACATCAGCAGGAGAGGACTTTTTAAAGTAGAGACACTACATACTGATATATACCTGAACATCAGCAGGAGAGGACTCTTTAAAGTAGAGACACTACATACTGATATACACCTGAACATGAGCAGGAGAGGACTCTTTAAAGTAGAGACACTACATACTGATATACATAAACTCTGGCAATATGCAGCGAAGGATAGATAAATACTTTCTAGGGGTCTTTTAAGAATGTGTTTTTGGATATCAAACTAAAGTGTACTTTCTCTGTAGTTGTAAACTTTGCTAAACTTAGTAATTCTGTCTTAGAAAGTTTTAAAAAACTGAAAATTCTCACAGGATAACAGATATGTAACAAAAGAGGCTTGGCAATGACTAGCGTGGGAACGAGCGCTCATACCATCTCGTTCCTGCTGAAAGAAATATCTTAAGATAACAGTTTTTATCAGCCTTCTTTAAAGATTACAACAGTTTACCCTCAAAGACATGAACTGCACTTGGTTCAGAAACTACCTCACTTTAATAACAGATGTTTTATTGAGTAAAATTGGCGGCCAACATCACTCCTGGCGCCACTAAAGGACAGCAATGTTCTTTAAGGAAAGGATGCAAGTTTAGCCACATGGTAAATCACTCTGAATGATATACAACTGTCAGGTTCGTCTAGCTTGTGTTGTTTATCTCACAGTCTTCTGCTTGTTTTCCAGTGAACCCATGCTGTTATCTCCCCTGTCAGCACTGGGGTGTCTGTGTGCGGTTTGGCGATGAGTACGAGTGTGACTGCACCCTCACCGGATACTACGGAGTAAACTGCACCGTCCGTAAGTCCCGCAATATCATCTGTTACAAGAAGTATTTCATGCTCGCTAATGAAGCTATCTCATAGAGGAGATACATGTCTATTAATGTCAGAAAACAGTGGAAAGTCCAAGGTGATGCCCTCCTATTGTCTTCGTCCCCCCCCCCCCCCCCCCCTTACTTTGGTGACCGGTCCTGTTTTAACTGCTATTACATTAACACAAAAAACATTAATCATCACCACATTTCATTTAACACCATTTCAAACTGTACATATTGTATCAGACTACTGGTACACATGAACAACTGCAGTGAATATACAAAGAACAGACACTGAACATGTATTGCGTGTGCCAGGTGGTGATCCAATGTGGGGGGAGGGGGCAAAGTTGGTGTGTGTGTGTGTGTGTGTGGTGTGTTGTGTGTGTGTGTGTGTGTGTGTGTGTGATGTGTGTGTGTGTGTGTGTGTGTGTGTGTGTGTGTGTGTGTGTGTGTGTGTGTGTGTGTGTGTGTGTGTGTGTGTGTGTGTGTGTGTGTGTGTGTGTGTGTGTTGTGTGTGTGTGTGTGTGTGTGTGTGTGTGTGTGTGTGTGGGTGTGTGTGTGTGTGTGTGTGTGGTGTTGTGTGTGTGTGTGTGTGTGTGTGTGTGTTGTGTGTGTGTGTGTGTGTGTGTGGTGTGTGTGTGTGTGTGTGTGTGTGTGTGTGTGTGTGTGTGTGTGTGTGTGTGTGGTGTGTGTGTGTGTGTGTGTGTGCTGGTTACTAATTCCTTTTCTTTATGGTCATTTATGGCGGGAACACCATGGTTTTACAAAGTTGACTAAATTATCCAAAATTCAATGAAAGTGGTGATCAGTAATTGTATATGTTCAAAAGTCTACTGTGAAGGATATCATGAAGCCTTAATGTAATTGAATGTAAAACTAAAAAGTTATGATTGATGAAAGTAGTAAATCGGTCAGATTTGACCCGAAGACAACAGGAGGGTTAATGTGATACAAAACAGAGAGAACATTAGGAAATGTCATTCTTTCAGAAGCTCATCACCACATTTTCTACCCTTTTTTGCATGAAAAGAATATTCTAATGAATTAAATATGATTAAATATATTATATGTGACTGCACCCTCACCGGATACTACGGAGCAAACCTGCACCGTCCCTAAGTCCCGAGATAAGTTTTAATATCCTGCCGAACGATTGCACTATTTGCAGAATTTGAAATATTCAGCGGTTTCTTTGCACACAAGAGGAAAGGATAAAAAGGGCTTTCTCGTTGATGTTGTTGTTAAATCAGGAGATAGTGCAACATCGCTCCTGGCTCACAGGGTTAGGACTTCTTGTCTAGACCTAAATATTTGGGGTAGAAATGGAGGAATTGCCGGAAAGAGTGCAGCTGGATCAGAGAGGATCTGTTTCACTGAAGCTCCGTGCAGTTCTGCTTCTCTTCACCGAGGAGAAACTCCCACAGTGTGGCCCTTCATCACATCGGATGACTCTGCGTGACAGTTATGCAGTTACATCACGCTCTCTTGGCATAACAACTGATGAAACATTGCTTTGAGAGAGAGAGAGACAAAGGGAGAAGGAGTGGGAGGAGAAGGCAAGCAAACAGGGAAAGAGGGAATGGGTTCGAGTGATAACATTTACTTAAAATAATGGTTTTGTTTCTTACAGCTCTTTATACAATAACAGAGGCAACTTTGTGGAGAAGAGATCCTTAATCCAAGAGCATTCAGCAGATAGAGATCTCCCAAAACGTAGGAGTGATTTCTGACAAGACTCATTATATACCACATGTACATGTTTTGTACTTTAAAGGTTCCATGTCATGCTTTTCTGGTTATCACCCGTCCCCTTGTTGTTATGAAGATTGTTTTGCATGTAAACGGTCTGCAAAGTCTCAAACCCTCAAAGTGCACCCTGTAGCGAGTAAAACTCTAACACAGAGAAGACCTGTCTGTGCTGCCCCAGAACGCCTCGTTGGACATTTCTCTTTTTCCATTGTTTACTTCCTGGGTATAGTGACGTATTTTGGGTATAGTGACGTAACGTAACGCAGATTGGTCCATTTGGAGCCGTTGTTACGTTACGTCCCCGGAGCTGCTACGTTTGGACCAATCCGCGGACTTCCTCACACACACACACTCGGCGGGACGTTGCGAGGCTCGCTGCTTCGAGGAGCGGACAGTGTGAGCTGGCTCAGTGGTGTGGGGTCGGCGAGACACCGTGGAACTCAGCCTGAGCACACACACAGACTCCCAGCCAGGCTGCGGGTGTGTGTGTGTGTGTGTGTTTCGGGCTGGGTTTCGCTGTGTCTCGCTGTTTCGCAGACGGCCACTGGGCTCACAGGCAGGGGGGGGGGCAGGAGCTCCAACAAGCCGTTTAGGACAGAGAGTGAATACACACACTATACAGAGAAGCTGTATGAGAAACCAATGTGAGTTTGGAACAATGCACAGTATACATTTATTCTAGTAGACCTCAACAATGGAATTATGATCAGTAGAAATGGCCGTGACATGGGACCTTTAAAGTAGCAGCAGACTGAAGGAAATAAAGACATTCCTGCAACAACAACAAATAATGAAATGTTCACAAGAATGCAGGAAACAAAAGGTTTAACATTAAAAACATCCTGGAGGAAAACCTCTCCCCTTCATTTTATATGTATTATTCCCAATGTTGAAACCAAACCTACGCCCCGGCATGAAGGAGCTGAAAGACACATCTGTCAATAAGAAACATAACCCTTACCCCTCCTGTTGTCTTCTGGTCAAATCTGACCGATTTACTACTTTCATCAATCATAACTTTTTAGTTTTACATTCGATTGCATTAAGGCTTCATGATATCCTTTACAGTAGACTTTGAACATATGAAATTGCTGATCACCACTTTCATTGGATTCTGGATGATTTAGTCAACTTTGTAACACCATGGTGTTCCCGGTCAAACATGACCGCCATAAAGAAAAGGAATTAGTAACCATCCGGATCAGATAAAACACACACACACACAAACACACACAAACACACGCACACACAGAACAATTTGACACATTTCCCGCTCTTATGTTCCCCTCCCCCACATGGATCACACCTGGCACACCAATACATGTTCAGTGTTTATTCTTTGTATATTGTAGGAGCAAACACAATAGTGGTGGCTCAAAGCCCACCTGTGCTCCGCGCCGTCCTTTAGATGAGCCTGGTCAGATTGATAAAAGAGGGAGTTCAACACACCGGCATAAAGTTATAACAATAATCTGATTTTAATGGTAAAAAACACCAATACAAGTTTACAGAGTACTCCGGACTCCCAGTTCTACTGCTGTGCGATACAGGTATCGGGACCAGCCAGTCAGAAACAGGGGGCATTTTGCATGACTACACAACAGTATATATGGATATATTTTGAGGTGGAGAGCCACTTCTTATCTTCCACCGGACCCAACTCCTTAGATTTCCCAGGGAAGGTTTCACACAAACTATTCTTTTAAAACAATCAAACATTGTACACAGATATATTGGTATTGAACATTGTACACAGATATATTGGTGCTTGGGATTATTCGCCCCAGAAAGAACCTTGGAAAAAGTGTGTGTGTGTTAGTGAGGGAAAGTCTATGTGTGTGTGTGTGCATGCTGATAAGCAGAGGCGTATGTGTGTGTGTTGCTGATATCTGGGTTATGGAGTTTATGTGTGTGTGCTGCATGAAGACAGGAGGTGTATGTGTGTGTGTCAGGGTCTCTGGGTCATGGAGTGTAAGTAAGAAGGTTTATATATATATATATAGGATTACTTTAAACAGTCCCAAATAATACATGTTCACTTCAATACAGTTCAAGATAATACCTGTTTACTTTAATACAGTTTAGAACAATATCTGGGTGCTTTAATATGTACTGCAGTTCTTCATGTACACCAGTAGTCCGATACAATATTTACAGTTTGAAATGGTGTTAAATGAAATGTGGTGATGATTAATGGTTTTTGTGTTAATGTAATAGCAGTTAGAACAGGAAAACAAAGTAAGGGGGGGAACGAAGACAATAGGAGGGTTAAGTAAATGCCTTTTTGATTAAACCAATACATTAAGATAAATAAAGACCAAATCTGAAATGATTATGGTTTTATTACAAGATTTCAGGGCCCCAAGAAAAAACGTATAATACCACGTTGAGTGAGCCTAATAAAAGTTGACATTGTGCTTTTCTTTATGCAGTGTAGCTTTAAAATAATAATGCTCCAAATGTATTGATTACCCTAACAGTTTTATAGGAAAGCTGAAAACTGTCATATTGTTTGTTCCCTTTCACTTATAGGTCATATTTTACACATCTAGTGTACAATAAGTGCCCGATAAATACTGTTAGTACTTGTTTGTTTTCTTTTACATTATGATGTTTTAATGCCTAAGTAAAGCACTTTGAATTGCCTTTGTGTCTTAAAATGTGCTGTACAAATAAACTAACCTTAACCTTAAGACCTGTAAAGTTTAAGTAGCCCAGACGTGTTATCCCTCAGTCAGCATGGAGCCTCTTCCTGATGATCACACTGAATTCTTGAAGGCCGCGCTTTGACTGTAACGTAACGCTTCGGTTATTCCCGAGTGAATTCCCAGCAGCTCTGACTTCCAGTAAGTGATCCAGATAGGTTTTTCACGGGCCCTCCCTTTTTTTCCAGCTGAGTTCTGGTCCAGAGTGCATCAGCTCCTCAACCCAGTCCAGATGTTCTGCATTACATCCTCCACACACTTCCAGTGGCTGTGGGACGTCATCAACTCCACCTTCCTGAGGGACGTCCTGATGAGGGTCGTCCTCACAGGTATCAGCTGTTCATTCATATTACATCTATTCAGAGATGACAAAAGTACACACATCCTTTCCTCAAGTAGAAGTACAGATACTCGTGTTTAAAAATACTCTGGTGAAAGTAGAAGTACTGACTAAACTTCTTTACTCAAGTCAAAGTAAGAGGCTTTGAAATGTACTTCAGTAAAAAGTACCCATAACTAGCAGCTGTTTTAAAGAGTACCTGACCTCAACATGTGAGAAGTAGAAAGTACAGGTATTTGAGTTCAACATGTAAGAAGTAGAAAGTACAGGTATTTGTGTTCAACATGTAAGAAGTAGAAAGTACAGGTATTTGTGTTCAAATGTAAGAAGTAGAAAGTACAGGTATTTGTGTTCAAAATGTAAGAAGTCAAAGTAAAAAGTCCTCAGAAAAATAAGCAGTGGAGTAAAGTACTGATACCAGAAAAATGTACTTAAGTACAGTAACGAAGTATTTGTACTCCACTACTTCCCACCTCTGCATCTATTAACTCATATATATGTTGTTATTAACAGTGAGGGCCAACCTCATCCCCAGCCCCCCCACCTACAACTCTAAATATGGATACCTGAGCTGGGAGTCCTACTACAATCTGAGCTACTACACCCGGATACTTCCTCCAGTGCCGGAGGACTGCCCCACTCCTCTGGGGGTCAAAGGTCAGACACTCATTCATGTTTTATCCAAGCAACTATTAGGGGTTTAAGAAATGGCAAAAAATGTTTTGTGTGTGTGTGTGTATGTATATCTGGGTGTATATGTATGTGTACGTACATGTTTGTATATATGTATGTATGTATGTATGTACCAGCGACGTGCAGTCAGGGGAGGCAGAGCCTCACCTGTCATACTCATAGACTGGTCATACTACAATGTAACAGAAAAACAACTAAAGAAAAAAACTAAATAATAATAAAATGTCTCCACTGATCTGTGTTGTAAATGTGATTTATGTATGATTCCAATCGCTTTTTATAGTCAAAATCAGCAAATTTGCCGAGCTCCGCTACAACTACGGGTAGCGATGAGAAGTGAGGCAGGGACGAGCTCTGCCTCTCGTAAGCCCACAGTAACTTGCTCGAGCGCGGGCACTAATTTAGCGCGGGCACTTATTTTGTGAGCGGGCTCCAGCCTGTTACTGTGGGGTGAGGTGAGGCACAGATGAGCTCTGCCTCACCTCAGAATGCGTCACCCCACAGAAACTGTCTGGAAAGCGGGCCCTAAGCGCATGCCTGCACCATCTCACTGTATGTCACCAATGTAATGTTTGTAGATCCCTTTATTACATTTATCCTCGCCATCCATAGTCTCTAAATAACTTATTTCACGTATATATGATATTTAGGCCCGCTGGTCTCATCGTACAACGGCAATGAAAAAAGCACCAGGGGAGGCAGCCATAACCTCTGCCGCACTGAAGGGGGCGCAAGTGAGCCCACAGGTTCTTGTTGCTACTGTTATTCTACGCAGAGACGGTAGACGCAAACAACAAACTAGACTTTTGAAAACTACAGGAAGATAAGGAGGACTTTTACAAAAAAGTAATAGAGATTGTTGTCCCAGAAGGATAGCATGGACTTCATCTTCAAGTCAAGGGTAAGACCACAATTGTAATGAAAATGGGATCTTACTAAGAAAGAACAATCCAGTATTTAGATTGTGGGTATCCTTTTGTTGAACGGTCTGTTTAAAATGAATCGAAACATCAGACCAAAAAAGCTTTTGAAAATAACAGAATATTTCGATTAAGGTCAGAATATAATATTTGTAAATCTGACTCTGAAAGAGTCAGTGCCTCACCAGCCATGAACCTCACCGCACGTCACTGGTATGTATGTATATGTAGGTATTATGGGTATGTGGGTATGTATGCATATCTGGGTGTATATGTATGTATTGTATATATGTATAGGTGTGTGTGTGTGTATATATAAGTAGATACACGTGTACATGTGTAGATATTTGTCATTTCAAACAACCCCTACGTTTTTATTTTATTTTACCAATTTCAGTCGGTATTTAATTTGTCATTTTCGGGTCTTTAGAAATATATGATTTTCAAAACTGTACATTTAATAAAATGTGACCCCAAATAAATAAAGAATGAAAAAAAGAAACGGCAAAAAAAACCCACATTTTGAAATAATATGTAGATTTTTTCCAACAATCATTTTATTAATCTTTTTTTTAATCAGAAATATGCAAATATTAATTCATTTTCTCATGAGTTGATATAAAGGATAATGGTGGATGTTGCACAGATACACAGGTATACTGCACGTACTTTAAAGGGAGACTGAAGTACATGTATATATAAGTATAAAACCATATAGTGTAAAATAATACTAGGATACTGAAGTGCAGTACTTGAGATAAAGACTACTGCTAATCTGTGACGTCATAAATGATATCTAATGCAGAACATGTGTTTATATATCCATGTTTTTATATATTATTACAGTATTAGTTTCTGCTGTGCAGTGTTTAAGTCATTCTGTTTCATGTCCTTTAATCTCATATGTATATATTTGTAATACTTACTTGCACCATCTGCTCTTGAACGACTTTAATGCAGTCTTTTTTTTGTATATTGCATGTTGCATTTGTCGTGGATCCGATGTAACACTCACGACATTAAAGAATAAAACAAAAGAATCAATTAAACGCAGACACAGAGATGGTTGAAGTTAAATATTATATCGCTTTACAGCACTATAAGAGACACATTACCTTGCACCAAAGGAGTCGATGCCCTACATACTAAGTACATCTCACAGCTTATATACTCCTCAAAACTCCCGCTGACCCGACATGGTATTGTATTGCATTTTCTGACCCCCCAGACTTTAAATAATCTTAGGTTCAATGACCTTTCTCTGCCAATACCTTATGTAGAGAACTGTTGGTCACAGAAATAGATATGCCTCCTTTTAGAAACTAATTTATTCTCACTAGTGTGGCTTGAAACACATGTTTGTATAAAACGGCTTCTCCACATTGTTGGAGGATCCTAGGACCTTCCTCCCTGTTGATGTGGTACAGCTGTTTCCTCAGTGTGGATCCAGCTTGTAAAGCGTTCTGCATTCCTGACCTTGACGTTCAGAAGTGCAACGCCGTGTGTTAACTCTATCAGCCGTGTTTTCCAACGACGTGCTGCTCCAGTATTTTGACTAGAGGCTGTGCTCCGTGTCCCTTACTCAAGTAGAAGTACAGATACTCGTGTTTTAAAAATACTCTGGTGAAAGTAGAAGTACTGACTAAACTTCTTTCCTCAAGTCAAAGTAAAGAGGCTTTGAAATGTACTTGAGTAAAAAGTACCCATAACTAGCAGCTGTTTTAAAGAGTACCTGACCTCCCTTTATATTAATAGAACAATAATGTCATTGTTAGCTAATGAATGTTTCCATGCTGAACAACGGCAACATGACAACGTTTCCATTGGTCCCTCTTCTTTAGAGAAGACCAGGAAATGATGGATACACGGATCGTGTTCAAATCAATAGGCACGCAATGACTCTAAAGAATAATGATCACGCACCAAACACACATTCAGACTAAAGGAACCAGCTGTTTGGGAAATGAGAGAAGTAGAAAGTACAGGTATTTGAGTTCAACATGTAAGAAGTAGAAAGTACAGGTATTTGAGTTCAACATGTGAGAAGTAGAAAGTACAGGTATTTGTGTTCAACATGTAAGAAGTAGGAAAGTACAGGTATTTGTGTTCAACATGTGAGAAGTAGAAAGTACAGGTATTTGAGTTCAACATGTGAGAAGTAGAAAGTACAGGTATTTGTGTTATTCAACATGTAAGAAGTAGAAAGTACAGGTATTTGAGTTCAACATGTAAGAAGTAGAAAGTACAGGTATTTGAGTTCAACATGTAAGAAGTAGAAAGTACAGGTATTTGTGTTCAACATGTAAGAAGTAGAAAGTACAGGTATTTGGGTTTAACATGTAAGAAGTAGAAAGTACAGGTATTTGTGTTCAACATGTAAGAAGTAGAAAGTACAGGTATTTGTGTTCAACATGTGAGAAGTAGAAAGTACAGGTATTTGGGTTTAACATGTAAGAAGTAGAAAGTACAGGTATTTGTGTTCAACATGTAAGAAGTAGAAAGTACAGGTATTTGTGTTCAACATGAGAGAAGTAGAAAGTACAGGTATTTGAGTTCAACATGTAACAAGTAGAAAGTACAGGTATTTGTGTTCAACATGTGAGAAGTAGAAAGTTCAGGTATTTGAGTTCAACATGTAAGAAGTAGAAAGTACAGGTATTAGAGTTCAACATGTAAGAAGTAGAAAGTACAGGTATTTGAGTTCAACATGTGAGAAGTAGAAAGTACAGGTATTTGAGTTCAACATGTAAGAAGTAGAAAGTTCAGGTATTTGTGTTCAACATGTAAGAAGTAGAAAGTACAGGTATTTGAGTTCAACATGTAAGAAGTAGAAAGTACAGGTATTTGAGTTCAACATGTAAGAAGTAGAAAGTACAGGTATTTGAGTTCAACATGTGAGAAGTAGAAAGTACAGGTATTTGAGTTCAACATGTAAGAAGTAGAAAGTTCAGGTATTTGTGTTCAACATGTAAGAAGTAGAAAGTACAGGTATTTGAGTTCAACATGTAAGAAGTAGAAAGTACAGGTTATTTGAGTTCAACATGTAAGAAGTAGAAAGTACAGGTATTGAGTTCAACATGTAAGAAGTAGAAAGTACAGGTATTTGAGTTCAACATGTAAGAAGTAGAAAGTTCAGGTATTTGAGTTCAACAGTGTAAGAAGTAAGAAAAGTTCAGGTATTTGTGTTCAACATGTAAGAAGTAGAAAGTACAGGTATTTGAGTTCAACATGTAAGAAGTAGAAAGTACAGGTATTTGAGTTCAACATGTAAGAAGTAGAAAGTTCAGGTATTTGAGTTCAACATGTAAGAAGTAGAAAGTACAGGTATTTGAGTTCAACATGTAAGAAGTAGAAAGTACAGGTATTTGAGTTCAACATGTAAGAAGTAGAAAGTTCAGGTATTTGAGTTCAACATGTAAGAAGTAGAAAGTACAGGTATTTGAGTTCAACATGTAAGAAGTAGAAAGTTCAGGTATTTGAGTTCAACATGTGAGAAGTAGAAAGTACAGGTATTTGAGTTCAACATGTAAGAAGTAGAAAGTTCAGGTATTTGTGTTCAACATGTGAGAAGTAGAAAGTACAGGTATTTGGTTCAACATGTAAGAAGTAGAAAGTACAGGTATTTGAGTTCAACATGTAAGAAGTAGAAAGTTCAGGTATTTGTGTTCAACATGTGAGAAGTAGAAAGTACAGGTATTGAGTCAACACGTGAAGAAGTAGAAAGTTCAGGTATTTTAGTTCACATGTAAGAAGTAGAAAGTACAGGTATTTGAGTTCAACATGTAAGAAGTAGAAAGTACAGGTATTTGAGTTCAACATGTGAGAAGTAGAAAGTACAGGTTTTGAGTTCAAATGTAAAAGTAGAAAGTTCAGGTATTTGTGTTCAACATGTAGAAGTAGAAAGTACAGGTATTTGTGTTCAACATGTAGAAGTAAGAAAGTACAGGTATTGTGTTCAAACATGTAAGAAGTAGAAAGTACAGGTATTTGAGTTCAACATGTAAGAAAGTAGAAAGTTCAGGTATTTGAGTTCAACATGTAAGAAGTAGTAGAAAGTACAGGTATTTGCAGTTCAACATGTGAGAAGTAGAAAGTACAGGTATTTGAGTTCCACATGTAGAAGTAGAAAGTACAGGTATTTGAGTTTCAACATGTAAGAAGTAGAAAGTACAGGTATCTTGAGTTCACATGTAAGAAGTAGAGAAGTTCAGGTATTTGTGTTCAACATGTAAGACAGAAAGTTTTTACCGAAAAGTACAGGTATTTGAGTTCAACATGTAAGAAGTAGAAAGTACAGGTATTTTGAGTTCAACATGTGAGAAGTAGAAAGTACAGGTATTTGAGTTTTCAACATGTAAGAAGTAGAAATTACAGGTATTTGTGTTCAACATGTGAGAAGTAGAAAGTACAGGTATTTGAGTTCAACATGTGAGAAGTAGAAAGTACAGGGTATTGGGTTCAACATGTGAGAAGTAGAAAGTACAGGGTATTTGAGTTCAACATGTAAGAAGTAGGAAAGTAACAGGTATTTGAGTTCAACATGTGAGAAGTCGAAAGTACAGGTATTGGGTTCAACATGGGAGAAGTAGAAAGTACAGGTATATTGAGTTCACATGTGAGAAGTAGAAAGTACAGGTTATTTGAGTTCAACATGTGAGAAAGTAGAAAGTACAGGTATTTGAGTTCAACATGTGAGAAGTAGAAAGTACAGGTATTTGAGTTCAACATGTGAGAAGTAGAAAGTACAGGTATTTGAGTTCAACATGTGAGAAGTAGAAAGTACAGGTATTTGAGTTCATACATGTGAGAAGTAGAAAGTACAGGTATTTGAGTTCAACATGTGAGAAGTAGAAAGTACAGGTATTTGAGTTCAACATGTGAGAAGTAGAAAGTACAGGTATTTAGGTTCAACATGTGAGAAGTAGAAAGTACAGGTATTTGAGTTCAACATGTGAGAAGTAGAAAGTACAGGTATTTAGGTTCAACATGTGAGAAGTAGAAAGTACAGGTATTTGAGTTCAACATGTGAGAAGTAGAAAGTACAGGTATTTGAGTTCAACATGTAGAAGTAGAAAGTACAGGTAATTTGGGTTTTCAACATGTTGAGAAGTAGAAAGTACAGGTATTTGAGTTCAACATGTGAGAAGAGAAAGTACAGGTATTTGAGTTCAACATGTAAGAAGTAGAAAGTACAGGTATTTGAGTTCAACATGTGAGAAGTAGAAAGTACAGGTATTTGAGTTTCAAACATGTTGAGAAGTAGAAAGTACAGGTATTTGAGTTCAACATGTAGAAGTAGAAAGTACAGGTATTTGGGTTCAACATGTAAGAAGTAGAAAGTACAGGTATTGAGGGTTCAACATGTAGAAGTAGAAAGTAACAGGTATTTGAGTTCAAATGTAAGAAGTAGAAGTACAGGTATTTGAGTTCAACAGTGGAGAAGTAGAAAGTACAGGTATTTGAGTTCAATATGTAAGAAGTAGAAAGTACAGGTATTTGGGTTCAACATGTAAGAAGTAAAAAGTACAGGTATTGGTTTCAACATGTAAAGAAGTAAAAGTGACAGGTATTGAGTTCAACATGTGAGAAGTAGAAAGTACAGGTATTATGAGTTCAACATGGAAGAAGTAGAAAGTAACAGGTATTTGGAGTTCAACATTGTAAGAAGTTAGAAATTACAGGGTATTGGAGTTCAACATGGTAAGAAGTAGAAAGTACAGGTATTTGAGTTCACATGTGGAGAATGTAAGAAAGTACAGGTTATTTGAAGTTCAAACATGTAAGAAGGTAGAAAGTAACAGGTATGTGGGTTCAACATGGTAAGAAGTAGAAAGGTACAGTATTTTGAGTTCAACATGTAGAAGTAGAAAGTAAGGTATTTGAGTTCAACATGTAAGAAGGTAGAAAGTACAGGTATTTGTGTTCAACATGTTATGAAGTAGAAAGTACAGGTATTGTGGTTCAACATGGTAAGAAGTAGAAAGTACAGGTAATTTGAGTTCAACATGTAAGGAGTAGAAAGTAACAGGTATTTGAAGTTCAACATGTAAGAAGTAGAAAGTACAGGTATTTGAGTTCAACATGTAAGAAGTAGAAAGTACAGGTATTTGAGTTCAACATGTGAGAAGTAGAAAGTACAGGTATTTGAGTTCAACATGTAAGGAGTAGAAAGTACAGGTATTTGAGTTCAACATGTAAGAAGTAGAAAGTACAGGTATTTGAGTTCAACATGTAAGAAGTAGAAAGTACAGGTATTTGAGTTCAACATGTGAGAAGTAGAAAGTACAGGTATTTGAGTTCAACATGTAAGAAGTCAAATTAAAAAGTCGTCAGAAAATAAGTAGTGGAGTAAAGTACTGATACCAGAAACATGTATTTAAGTACAGTAACGAAGTATTTGACGCTGTGTGTTTTCTGTGTGTGTTTCTGGTGTGTGTGTGTGTGTGTGTGTGTGTGTGTGTTTCATTGTGTCTCTGTGTGTCTCTCCTCAGGTAAGGCAGTGCTTCCCGGACCCTGAGCTTCTGGTGGAGCGGCTCTTGAGGAGACGGACCTTCAGACCCGACCCTCAGGGATCCAACCTCCTGTTCGCCTTCTTCGCTCAGCACTTCACTCACCAGTTCTTCAAAACATACAACCGCATGGGGCTGGGCTTCACCAAGGCTCTGGCTCACGGGGTGGGTGCATTCACTGCTTTTGGGTTTTATTACCAAGTCGGTTTACACACAGGAGGAATTTGCTTTGGTGTATAATAATAATAATGCATTTTATTTATAGAGCGCTTTTCTAGAAACTCAAAGACACTTTAAAGAGTAAAAAGGATCATTAAAACATAATTAAAACAACGCACTTAAGATATATAAAACAGAACATTAATTACATATTAAAAGCAGTTCTGGAGAGGTGAGTTTTGATTTGTGATTTGAACATGGCGAGATCAGGGCAAAACATGTAAAATAGTACTATAATAAAAGCAATTTTAAAAGGCTATTGTAACAGATAAAAAATAAAGACAATATTTACACAAAATATAATTATGTGAGAAACTGAGAACAGCAAAATATAATACAATAATATATATATTAAATATAAAGAAATATGGCAAATAATTTAAAGGTCACCTATCATGCTATTTTTAGGCAATAGCACAGGTCTCAGATATATACAAATATATAAAAACATGTCTATGAAGTGTTTTGCTCCAAACACCAAACAGATCATTCTAGCCATGCCTCATACCCCTCTATTTCACTTCCTGTTTCTAAAGTGCTGATTTGGGTATAAAGCTTTAAAGAGGAGGGGTCTGAGCTCATGCGGGACCCGGCAGCTACTGTCTAAACTAAATGCTGCCGTGATGAAACGCCATATCATGGATTATCAAGGATTCTCTCTGAAACAGTTTGGAGCTCAAAGGCTTTCTCTCTTGCCGGTTATACCACAAGGTGAGTTCCTTTCTACTTCCTGCTTCTTCACACACATGCTCTCCAGTACAGGTTAGCTCTGAGTGTTAGCGATGCTAATGTAAACACCGACCATATTACGTCCAAAACAGTCGGGCATTGTTTCTGATAGCAACGTTTCTGATTGGGCCGTGGGTCCACATTTCAGATATTACGTCATATCGGACGCAAATCTGGATCAGCTCCGTTGTTTCCCCGTTTTTAGAGATTTGGGTACGGAGGAAAGAGAGAGGGTTTTGTTTCCTGACGCTGCGTGAGTTCCCCGACGCACCGGGGACACATGTTGATGGAGAGAAGACATCACAAAGTCCATTTTGCATGATAAGAGACCTTTAAATGTTTTCCCACGATAATGTGTTGTCGCTAAATGTAAACATACAGGGCAAATTGAAGTGATTGTCCATTCCCTCCCTCCCAGCCCTTATTCACTGTGGCTTTAAAAAGGTAAAGGAAAATGCATGTACACATATTTTAAGACAAACACAGAAATACAAATAAATAAGGTCAAGAACTGCACAGGTTTTTAACAGAGCACACAAAGACACAGCATCCAGTACAAATCAAAGCATAACGTACAGATAATAAAGTGTTTTTATCACAGGAAGCACTGGCAGTCTGTCAAAATAAGATAAGAGGGGATTTCCAGAGGAACATTTTCTTTTGACTGCAAATGATTTTCCTCGTGTTAAAGGAACATCATGGTGTCCTCCATTAGATAATAAAACACTTCTTTGAGTGTACCCTCACCTGAGGTTTTTAAAGGGTCAAAAGCAATACTTTTTTCCAGCCGAATGAAAGGCAGGAACGTGATGTTGCGTGACTTGCTAACACAAAAAGAAATGACCTTGAGTTTAGAGTGCATGGAGAATTTATATGGAGCGTGAATCCTCTTAGTCCTACTTTGTTTGGCCCTTCAAGGCTTCCATATTTGAGTCATAATACACTTTATTTGAGTACAGTAACGCAGTATTTGACGTGTGTGTGTGTGTGGTGTGTGTGTGTGTGTGTGTGGTTGTGTGTGTGTGTGTGTGTGTGTGTTTGTGTGTGTGTGTGTTGTGTGTGTTGTTGTGTGTGTGTGGTGTGTGTGTGTGTTGTGTGTGTGTGTGTGTGTGTGTGTGTGTGTGTGTGTGTGTGGTGTGTGTGTGTGTGGTGTGTTGGTGTGTGTGGTGTGGTGTGTGTGTTTGTTGTGTGTGTGTGTGTGTGTGTGGAGGGAGGAGGTTTTTATTTGGGTGAGGTGCTCGAGACTCATGTGGATTTTCAATTAAAAGCCCACTTCCCATGCTTCAAATGAATGAGTCAATAACTGTTTTTTTACCTTCTTTGCTCTCGTGTCGGGACAGGTAGACGCAGGACACATTTACGGAGACAACCTGCAGCGTCAGCCTTTCTCGAGGCTGCAACAGAGACGGAAAACTCAAGTATCAGGTGAGAGGAAAAGAGCTGCGGAGAAAACATGAACGCATCATATCATTGAGAATATCGAGAGCAAAATCATTTCCAAGGGACAGAGGTGGTAGTGTTTCAGTCAAGTTGTTCTCAGGCCCCGGCCACACGAGGACGAAAACGGTCGTTTGCGTTACTGTTTAGTGTCATATAGACCGTTCGGCCACACGAGGACGACCGCATACGGCACTAAACGACTGCGGAAACGATAACGGGTCCCAAGGTGGATAGAACGGCATACGCAACGCTCTGGGGGGTCAAAACGGCTCCGTGTTGTACGCCCTATACGATCATTTTCTGATAATGATGAGGCAATAGCCCCGCCTCTCCCCACCTCTGCTGCTCACCCCCGCGTCAAAGTAAACTGCACACTGAATTCAGATTATTTATCTTTCTCTCGATATGGACCTAAACGCGAGTAAAGTCTAATCTGACAGGACGGAGACACCTCTCAAACTACCTAAACTAGTTATAAATATGTTTATTTTTACTGTCGGCCGGGTCACTCATTACTGGATCAGCTGCTGCATGAGACAGACACTGACGCTGTCCGAAGAGAGGGAGGAAAAAGAGAGGCTCCGTGTATTTATATTATTATATTATATAGATTCGTTATTCATTTGTTTTAAAGCTCAATAAATAACAAAGAAGACCTTTGACCGGCACTTTTATAATGTTGTCGGAAGATTTAAACTTTAATACACGTTGACTGGCGAAAAACTCTGCCCGGTTCCCTCGGCCCCCACCGCGGAGAATAAACAGAAGGGCAACCATGACAACCATGCTTCTTCGCTGCTTTTGTGGAGGAAGTTACAGCGCCACGTACAGGCTCCTGCATGTACTGCAGCTTCTCCAGCGGTTGGAGCTAAACGGAGCGGTCTCGTGTGGACAGACACTATCCGGTGAATATTGCGTGTGGACGGAAGCTTGTTTGCGTTTGCGTTAATCCTATGCGTTTAGCCGTTTTCGTCCTCGTGTGGCCGGGGCCTCAATATCAGCAGAGGTGTGAAGTAACTAAGTACATTTAGGTGTGAAGTAACTAAGTACATTTAGGTGTGTAGTAACTAAGTACATTTAGGTATGTAGTAACTAAGTACATTTAGGTGTGAAGTAACTAAGTACATTTACGTGTGAAGTAACTAAGTACATTTAGGTGTGTAGTAACTAAGTACATTTAGGTGTGAAGTAACTAAGTACATTTATGTGTGAAGTAACTAAGTACATTTAGGTGTGAAGTAACTAAGTACATTTAGGTATGTAGTAACTAAGTACATTTAGGTGTGTAGTAACTAAGTACATTTAGGTGTGAAGTAACTAAGTACATTTAGGTGTGAAGTAACTAAGTCCATTTAGGTTTGAAGTAACTAAGTACATTTACGTGTGAAGTAACTAAGTACATTTAGGTGTGAAGTAACTAAGTACATTTAGGTATGTAGTAACTAAGTACATTTAGGTGTGTAGTAACTAAGTACATTTAGGTGTGAAGTAACTCAATCAATCAATCAATGTTTATTTATATAGCCCAATATCACAAATGTTACATTTGTCTCAGTGGACTTTACAGTTTGTACAAAATATCAGTATGACAATATGACACCCTCTGTCCTTAGACCCTCACATCGTACAAGGAAAAACTTCCAAAGAAAACCCACAGTTTAAAGGGGAAAATGGGAGAAACCTCAGGGAGAGCAACAGAGGAGGGATCCCTCTCCCAGGACGGACAGACGTGCAATAGATGCCGTGTGTAAATTGAAAAGATAATACATTTGCAACATAGGTAGTCCAAATGTTTGGAAATGCATGTGTGTATAATAGGAAGATGAATCCACGAGGATATCCATCCAGGACCTATGATCCAGGACCACAGCCACGACTCAAGATCCAGGGCTCGCGATCCAGGACAGAGGAGCGCATGATCATCCATGACTCCGGATCCCGGCGTATATAGACACCAAAAAGAAAGACATTTGGGGAAGCTGGGTTAATGGGAACATGAGAGTACACAGGTATAGACAGAGAGAAGGAAGAAGTAAGATGTCCGCCGACAAACTAAGCCTATATCAGCAAAACTAGGGGCTGGATCTAATCAGCCCTAACTATAAGCTTTATCAAAAAGGAAGGTCTTAAGCGCACTCTTAAAAACGGATAGGGTGTCTGCCGCCCGAACACAAACTGGAAGCTGATTCCACAAATGTGGAGCTTGATAAGAAAAGGCTCTGGCTCCCATTGTACTTTTAGAGACTCTAGGAACAACCAACAACCCTGCATTCTTGGAACGCAATGCCCTAGTAGGACAGTAGGGTATAATGAGTTCTTTAAGGTAAGATGGCGCCTGCCCATTAAGGGCTTTGTAGGCGAGAAGAAGAATTTTAAATTCTATCCTGTGTTCTATAGGGAGCCAGCGTAAGGCAGCCAGAACAGGAGTAATGTGGTCCCTTTTCCTAACTCTGGTTAGTACACGAGCTGCAGCATTTTGAATCAGCTGAAGCGACTTGACTGACTTCTTGGTACACCCTGATAATAAAGAGTTACAATAATCCAGCCTTGAAGTAACAAATGCATGGACTAGTTTCTCTGCATCGTTTTGAGGCAAGATATGCCTGATTTTTGCAATGTTACGTAGATGGAAGTAGGCGGTCCTTGAAATTGATTTTATGTGGGCGTTAAAGGATAAATCCTGATCAAATATAACACCAAGATTCCTTACAGTCTCACTGGAGGCCAAATTAATGCCATCCATAGTTAGTATATCCTTAGATAATTTGTTTCGTAGATTCTTCGGGCCAAGTACAATAACTTCAGTTTTGGTCGTGTTTGACATCAAAAAGTTTAAGGTCATCCACGTTTTTAAGTCCTTAAGGCAGTCTTGAATTTTATTTAGATGATTAATTTCATCAGGCTTGATTGATAAATATAGTTGAGTATCATCCGCATAACAATGAAAGTTTACAGAATGATTCCTTATAATATTGCCTAACGGAAGCATATATAATGTGAACAAAATAGGTCCGAGCACTGAGCCCTGTGGCACTCCATGGCTAACTTTGGTTTGCGTGGAAGATTCATCATTGACACGTACAAACTGAGAGCGTTCAGATAGATAGGACCTAAACCAGTCTAAAGCAGTTCCCTGTATGCCAACTAAGTGCTCTAGTCTTTGCAATAAGATATCATGGTCGATAGTATCAAATGCAGCACTGAGATCGAGCAAAACAAGAATAGAGACACGTCCCTTGTCAGAGGCTATTAGAATGTCATTTGTGACTTTAACCAGAGCTGTCTCTGTGCTAGGATGTGTTCTAAAGCCAGACTGAACATCTTCAAATAAATCATTGTTTTTTAAGTAATCACACAACTGTTTTGCGACCGTTTCTCAATAATTTTTGAGAGGAACGGAACTAAGTACATTTAGGTGTGAAGTAACTAAGTACATTTAGGTGTGTAGTAACTAAGTACATTTAGGTGTGAAGTAACTAAGTACCTTTAGGTGTGTAGTAACTAAGTACATTTAGGTGTGTAGTAACTAAGTACATTTAGGTGTGAAGTAACTAAGTACATTTAGGTGTGAAGTAACTAAGTACATTTAGGTGTGAAGTAACTAAGTACATTTAGGTGTGTAGTAACTAAGTACATTTAGGTATGAAGTAACTAAGTACATTTAGGTGTGAAGTAACTAAGTACATTTAGGTGTGAAGTAACTAAGTACATTTAGGTGTGTAGTAACTAAGTACATTTAGGTATGTAGTAACTAAGTACATTTAGGTATGAAGTAACTAAGTACATTTAGGTATGAAGTAACTAAGTACATTTAGGTATGAAGTAACTAAGTACATTTAGGTGTGTAGTAACTAAGTACATTTAGGTATGAAGTAACTAAGTACATTTAGGTATGAAGTAACTAAGTACATTTAGGTATGAAGTAACTAAGTACATTTAGGTGTGAAGTAACTAAGTACATTTAGGTGTGAAGTAACTAAGTACATTTAGGTGTGTAGTAACTAAGTACATTTAGGTATGTAGTAACTAAGTACATTTAGGTGTGAAGTAACTAAGTACATTTAGGTATGAAGTAACTAAGTACATTTAGGTATGAAGTAACTAAGTACATTTAGGTATGAAGTAACTAAGTACAAACCACAGCACTGAGACTGCTCTTGTAAAGGTCTTTAATGACATCCACTTAAACACAGACAGTGGCAGAACTTCAGTGTTAGTATTATTAGATCTCAGTGCTGCGTTTGACACTGTTGACCACAGCATATTACTAGACCGACTGGAGAACTGGGTGGGACTTTCGGAAACAGTTCTGAATTGGTTTGAATCCTACTTAAAGGACAGAAACAACTTTGTTTCTATAGGTAAATACACATCTGAGTTGACAAATATGACATGTGGGGTTCCTCAAGGCTCCATCTTGGGGCCTCTTCTCTTTAACATCTACATGCTACCACTGGCTCAGATAATGAAGAACAACAAAATAAGTTACCATAGCTATGCAGATGACACACAAATTTACGTAACAATTTCACCAGGAGACTATGCTCCAATTCAAACACTGAGTAAGTGCATTGAACAAATCAATGACTGGATGTGTCAGAACTTTCTCCAATTAAACAAAGATGTGGTAATATACTGAGGTAATGGTTTTTGGAGCCAAGGCAGAACGTATAAAAGTTAGCGCTGAGCTTCAGTCTGCAATGTTCAAAACAACAGATAAAGCCAGAAATCTAGGTGTAGTCATGGACTCTGACCTGAGTTTCAACAGTCACATTAAAACTGTTACTAAATCAGCCTACTATCACCTAAAGAATATATCTAGGATTAAAAGACTAATGTCACAGCAGGATTTGGAAAAAACTTGTCCATGCTTTTATCTTCAGTAGACTCGACTACTGCAATGGTGTCTTCACAGGTCTCACTAAAAAATCTATTAGGAAGCTGCAGCTAATTCAGAACGCTGCTGCTCGAGTCCTCACTAACAC